GAAGGCTAATTTATAAAATGATAGTCTTCCAGGCAATAGCCACCCAGCCTTATACAAAGAGGGGTATCCGCAGGGAGAGTCAAAAAAGTCAAGATGGTGACTGGGATTGGGCCATCAAAGCTCTGCCCCTTTTTTACACACAACAAACCAAGCCAACCTTTTTATGCACTAAATGTTTACAACCATCCTGGAATGCAGTTGTGAGTCTTCCGCAAAATTAGCTCCTGATATTTGACCCTCCTGAAAGAAGGTAGGGTGCAATTAATTTACATTTGTTCTTTGCAGCTCACCAAAAAAATTGAGCTTGTCTGGCATAATTGGTGACATTCCTCCAGACTTAATTCATAAGGCTATTTTTTGATTCAAGTTTCCACCAGCTGTTAGCACAAGCCACGGCGGTAGCTCTATTTTAAGAAGTTCACTAAAGTGCACGTACTGCCGACAGCACCATGTGGTGTATTTATTATTCTGAAAACAGAGTCAAATTGAAAACTTTGAGAACTTTCCTTTTTTAAAAATACATAAAGTATATTTACCCCAACTTCTTTCATGTTGAAATCACATGCTGAGCATTAGGAAGGAAAGGCATGACAGTTTTCAAAAATCTGAGAGGGGGGCAACATTCCTGAGTTTGGTAATATTCAAGATCCAATGTGCTACAGCAGTTAAAGCTTTAGGTTGGAATTAGAGAAGGTTTACACTGTATCTATTCTGTTCCAATCCAGCTTGCAAAATACAAGCAATCAAATGGATTTTTTCCCAGAAAGATTATGAGCTCATAGGCACCTTCTACTAACCAATGCCCTACTAACCATTTTTAGGAGACATGATTTCATGATGCAACCTTTGTCTCATCCCTGGCCCACCATGGAGACAACCTTAGCTGTTCCAGTTTTAAATTAGTGTTTTCTATCTTCTCCCGATATGTCTTGGTGCACAAACAATCCTGGTGAGAACGTGGTCAGAAGTGGAATCTACTGAGTGACGATTGATTGATTGAGACTCCTGACAGCTCATCTTCCCTGTTCATTGGTCACTGCACTTCATGGACATTTGGACTTGGGTGGCTGAAGAAACCAGAATCTAGTTTCTGCAGATACATCTTTGCAAAGCATCATTCAGGCCATAAAAGTGCTGCTTATATATACTGTTATACCAGTCTTCTGGAAGAACATTATAGCTGTTATTTAACATTTAATGGTCTCTTAAAAGCCTGGTAGGCTTTCTGTAAAAAACAAGAACTGCTAGTCAAGTTCAGCTTGGAAAGAAGCATATTGGTGGTTCTATCCCAAATGAATGCATTAAAGGTTTTATGCTGCTTTTTGTAACAAATGGTTTTGCACAGCCCTGCTTTCTATTGTTCTTACTGCTTTGGGAGTGAGGCAGTGACATTTTGCTGAATTTAATGTCATTTTGTGTACTCCAGGGAATACTTTCAGGTGCTGCTGACTAGCTATCACTGTCAGTCCCTCAGCACTTATTGATTTGGGATATTCGGTAGTTGAGGTCAAATTGACAAAGATCAGTTTCCTCTTTTATCCTGAGTAGCAGAAATGATGATAAACCTGTGCATCAGTTTCTGGAAGACTGATAAACGTCTATCCAAAAATAACCCAGCTGACAAATTGGTGGGCTGGAGGATGGCTGGAAGCTTCACCTCACCAACTTGTTGGCTAGGCTATTTTTGGACAGAAGCTTAACAATCTTCTAGAAGAAAGCTGGATTGGAAGATGGGTTTAACATTTTTCCTGTCACTTGGGCTACCTATGTTCATAGATTGCCCAAGTGAAAGGTTACCAGGGTGGAGTAGGCAACTCAAAAGACAACTAAGGCCTCTATCCAAAACATCTGCCCTTAGCCATCCAAGTCTGTCCTTGCCACACACTGAGGGTGATTGGTCATATTTTTTGTTCCTGCTGACTGCTGATGGTGACTTGGGTGGGAAACAAAATCAGGGGAATCAACACATCCAATATCTTAAATTGTCCCATAATAAAACTATATGGACAGGACCACTCACAAGTCTTGTTCCTGAGGCAAATTAGAGTTTGGCCAGCTGAACAGTGCAGATTATACTGTATAGTCCTCTGATGACTAAAGGACTGGAGCATGAACCCAATGTCATGGTGGAAATCAGGACCATGGAAAGCTCCTCAGAAGTATGGAGAAAGGTTGCCTTAGAAGAGAGTGATTCTCCCAAAGTTCGTTTGCCTTACCCCTCAATGGGCACTGTTCAGTTAATCATGCTCTGCTCCACTAAGGTTTTAAAGAACCATTGCCAGTTAATTCTTTTGACCCTCCCCATCCACCAACAGCCAAAATAACATAATTAATCTTCACTCGAAGGTGCAGTGTTTCCTCCCAACAGGGTACTCTCCATTCCCTTACCCTGTCATGCTGACATATTCTTAAGAGCCCAGACTTAATTGGATCTATGTAAGGTCATCAACTGAATTAGTTCCACCATGAGCAATCATCACTGCAGGGGAAAGGTGATGTCTGACAAATTGCCTTCCCTCAATTCATAATCATCAAGTGCTTGAACCAAAGAAACAGCACAAGGAACATGTCTTACCAAATGAAAGCTCTTAAAAAGATGTTAAAGGAGAAGTGTGGTTATGAAGGACAGCTTCCTTCTTACTCAAAATGCAGATGAAGTAAGTTTTTACTTCCAGGAACTTGTATATACAAGGTGCACAAACTATAAAGCACACTGAAGCTACTTTTCATAGGAACCACCATTCATAGGGGAATCCTTTTGCTTTCATACTATCTTTATTCCCTACAAATCCAAAAAGCAAATACAGAAGCTCTTGCCTGCATCAGAAGTTCTATAGAATAACACAATTGTTGATCTTCAGGATTATTCCTTCACTGAAGTGGAGGCATAAGATCACCAGGTTATGGTACACTGAATATTTAGCAAAGAATGGGATTGAAGTAAGAAAGTCCCTGGTCACAACCTTCTTCCCCATCTCCAGAGTAAAGCAGGGGTGGATTGCTCATCGGCTGGATGTGTTAGATGTGCTTTTACTCTTTGCACATTATCCATATTACTCCAACACAACCCAGCTGCTGCATTGGAGAAGGACCATAGTCAAATAGCAGGTGAGTAGAATTGGATTCCTGCTTTGTGCCACAAAAAGGGAGAAAGGCTGATAGGTCAAACCCATCTCAGGCATTCTAGGTATGTGGGAGCAGGCAGGAGTAAATTCCATGATGCTGGTCGACTTAAGACCATCATCCACTGACATCTCCTCCACCATCCAGCATGGGCAAAGGCTGTCAGCAGATGGACTGCCTACAAAAATCAGGGTCCCTTCCCATGCTTTCTAGAACTATGCCTTTGCGGGGAAAGATGTTCTTTTCTATCTTGCTGCACTGCACTCCTCACTCAGGGGAAATTAAGATTCCTTAATTCATAGAAGCAGAGCCAGAAGGAAACATTTTAGGCCATTGAGTCCAGCATCCTATTCAGTGCAGGAATATAGATTCAAGCATATGGCTATCCAGCTCGTGCTTAACGCATCCAGAGAAAATGGCTCCACCAACTCTCTGAATAATTGGTTCCACTTTTACCGCTATGAAGTTCTAGCAGAGGTGGTCTGCTTCTGGTTCCCTCAATTAAACAATGTCATTGTCAGGCTCAGCTCAAGAACAACAGGGAAACAAGTTCAGTTCTTCTATTGCTCACGGCATATAGATAGAATTTTGCCAGACTAAATCTGTACTATGCTAACCTAACGGATATATCCTGGGAGATTCTAGGGAGTGGCTAACCTAAGTCTCTTCCGCTTCCCACGCTCTTGGTCTGGACTGTGTTGTCTCTTGTCTCCCTGCTGGAATGTGCTCCCTCCTTCCTGAGAACCTGGTTCTCTACTGCATTCCATCAACCAACTCCCTCTTTGTAGATACATTCCATCACAGACATCTATCAAGTGGGCCTTCTCTGTCATGGTGCCTGGTCTCCGGAATAATATTCCCCCAGGGATCTGTATGGCTTCCACCCTGATGATGATGAAAACATGGCTAGGGTGGGACAGGAAAGCGGTTGAGCTCCTGCAAGTTTTTGCTTGGCATGTTTTGGTTCTGTTTTATATGATCTTTCTGGATCATAATTTGTTTCTTTACCTTGTTCTAGTTTTCATTATGTAAAGTGCCCAGAATCATCTATATGTGGGCATTTTTTTCAATCCATGCAAACAATTCAATACATGTTTTTTTTTTCCTGAAATGCAATCAAAATATTCCTGATCCATTATCCTGTGCCTGCATTATCTTGATCTTCATCTTTGTAACATCAATTCTGGTACAAGTAGTCCCTGGGTTAAGAATGCCCAGTTTTAGGACGACCCATAGATAAGAATGGAGCCTACTGTAGCAAAAGTCGAGCTAAATACACAACGATTCGAGTTAAATACACAATGGTTAATTACACAATACTACTTATATAGTATTATACAATAATACTGTTCTGGCTTACATACAAATTCGACTTAAGGGCAGACATTGGGAACGGAACTCGTTCTTAAACTGGGGACTACCTGTACTTGAAATGTCCCTTCCCCCCTCCCCAGTCAATCTTTCCCCAAGGTGAAACATTTCACCACCAGGTTATGATGAGAGGCAAAAGTTCAATGGATTCAAAAGTGATGTTGCTTGGCTGAGTATGGATTTGAGCCTTGCTGTCTCCGTCTTTTGACTGTCACTTCAACCGTTACCAAGAGCTGACGGTTCTACAGTACTGTCAAACCTCTCTTACCATTACCAGGTTTTCCCTAACATTTCCTCACATGCAAGAACAATAATTCAACAAAGGCAAAATGGCCACTTCTTTGTTTGCTCATCTCCCCCCCCCCCCTTTAAACAACAGCCCTTTCCAGTTCTTTCGGCAGCATTCCTGTAACACCAAAAGAAATCTAAGAATGCTATGTGTCATTTCAGATGCAGTTTCCTCCCACTGTTTATCACTGGCCAATGGCAGCATTTTGTATGCCTACCTGACATAGAGAGAACGCTTTTGATTGGTTCGCAGGGAGCCTGACCCTGAACTCATGCTGTGATTCATCATCTGTTCACGCAGATCATGGATTTTGGCCTCAAATCGAGCGTACTCTGTAAACAAACAAACAAAATTTAAAACCCTTTTCATGGATTGGTTTATCATTTTATATGGGCTTGGGTATATATCTCATGGTATTTCAGAACATCTGCACTTGAAGAAGGTGAAATAATATGACAGCAATTTTCCCAATTCTAAAGTAAGTAAATGTTGATTGCCTTTTTTTAGGATGTTTTTGGGTTTCCCAGTCTAGCCTACAGCTCTTGTATCCCCTGATAAACTGTCATGCAAGTTCCAACGCTTCTTCACTTCTAAGAGCTGACAAGTTCAGCCAAGTTCTACCACCTACGTTTATTTGAAATACTCCTAGGAAAAGTAGTGATTTTCCTTCAGAAATCCTGAAGCTGCGATCTTTACCTGGGATAAGTTCTCTTGTATATAGTGAGTCTCTACTGTGTGGTATAGGGTTGAGCACATATCCATCAGACTAAGAATTCTTATTCTATAAAGTAGAAATGTGCTGTCTTAAAACGAACCTTTTAGATCAAAATGAAGAAGCAATTAAAAAAATAAGGTAAAGATTGGCTAGAGATGGTACAATATTTCAACTAGCACCTCCCTCTCCCAAATAAAGCACTTCCTGGATCTGTCCTAAATGAGTACAGTTTTGCTTTTCCCCAGCTGGTTACTTTCTAAGGTTAACCATGTTGGCTGAAGTACTGGAACACAGAGTCCCAGTATCGTTGGACAGCACCAGATGGAGGAAGATCAGTTATACAGTAGCTGTCCATTCCTAACCACAACGATGCCAGAATCATGTAATGGGTATTGTAACATAACAACACAAACTCCGCCCTTTAGTACTTGTACCACAATGCCTCATGTAATTATGTAAGGGGTGGAATTTGTGTTGTGATACCATATATTGTTATTTGTCCCCTGTACCACAGATACCGATAAGATCAGTACAGCCTTAAGGATCCCCCCGGAAATGATTACAGGTAGTTAATGCAGCATTCAGGTTTGTTCTTCAGTTCACAGACAGCTGAAAGGGGCTTTGAAGGTCATCTTGCTCTACTTTGTATTTCCCCATGCAGGAAATAATACAGTTATAAAATTGTAGACTTGGAAGTAAAGGTCATCTAGTCCAACCTCCTATAGCACTTCAACTTCCCCATGCATTGTCATTCATTCTCTGTTTCAAGCTCTCCAAAAGATACAAAATTGTCTCCGTTATTAAGGTAACCATCAAGACATCTCTCCTAGTGATTTATTGAAGTTTACCCTCTAGTTGGAGCCCATTAGATCTAGTTCTCCTTCTTGATATAATAATTCAAGTTATTAATACAGACAATATCTGAAATCTGCATTTTATGACTGTACTGCAATGTCATATCTCCAGGTATGTAAAGATGGTACCATGCTCTCACACATTCCTACTGGTAGAAGCTGAATACACTAACATTCACAACATTTACAAATAAACAGAAAATTACTAACATATATGCATTGTACATAGGAGAAATAAGCAACATAATCTATAATTTATATATAATATAATATAATCTATAATCTATAATGTATAACAGAAATCATAGGCATATCTAAACTCATGAATTAATCTACAAAGTCTTACTTGTCAAGTTATGCTCACAATATTTCTTATGCAGCTATGACTCAGGCAGAGAATGTCAGCTGATCGATGCACTACAGTACATAAATCAAGTTGATTTATGCTCCTAAGAGCATCCAAGAACATTCTCATAAATCAGGAATCAACCCGAATCATTAGCAGATGGCACGTTTTACTGGAAATCTGATGGTGTGAACACTTGAGGGAAGGTAATGAATAATCAGGAGTAAAAATATAGTCAGATAATAGACACTAATTGCTCAGGTCAAGACTAGTGGAGTCTATGTCAAGGTTTCCTTTGGATGGGAAATACTTATTTATTTTGGTACCTACTGACTTCTTTAATATAATTGGCATCGTGCATTTTTAGCCAGAAGGCACTTGAGCCAAACGTAATAGAGAGAATGGTACAATTTGGGACAGGAATGAGCTCTTCATTTTTACTTTCTGAACACTTTCTTTGGTGCATGGTAGCTGTGAGGGTTTGGATGGAGAGGAATTGTGTGACTCAACCCTAGCAAGATGGAGTGGCTTTAGGTTGCCTCCCTCCCCCCCTGGAGTCAGGTGTGCAATTTGGGTCCTCCTGGACTCATGGTGCCTGCTCAAGGAGCAGGTGGCAGCCTTGGCCAGCGGGGGGTTTGCACAAATTCATCTTGTGTGCCATTTGTGACCATTTCTGGACTGGGAGGCTTTTCTACAGTCCCTCAGGCCTTAGCCATTTCCCGGCTGGATTACTGCAAGATGTTTCACATGGGGCTGCTCTTGAAGACCACCCAGAAACTTCAACTGGGCCAGAATGTGATGGCATGCACAGTTCTGGGCACTGTGTGGTTTGTCCATGATACCCTGCTGTTGCACGAGCCACACTGGCTTCCAGTTTCTTTCCAGGTGGAATTCAAGGTGCTAGTTATCAATGTTAAAATTGTGAATGGCACATGGCCAGGTTATTTGCGGGATGGCCTCTCCCTGAGAGTTCTGTGTGTCCCTTATAATAACAGAATCTTGCAAGTCTGACTGTGTTGAGCCTCTTCCCTGTAGATATAGCCATGTGAATACTGCAAGATGTTCCACATGGGGCTGCTCTTGAAGACCACCCAGAAACTGTGGGCCATGTGAATTAGGGAGGTGTCTGTCTCAGCCGCTCACGTATACTTTCTGCTGATATGGCCTAATGGCTAATCAATAATAATAAACTAAACTAAACTAAACTAAACTAAACTAAACTAAACTAAACTAAACTAAACTAAACTAAACTATTGGAGTTAAACTATGCTTTTCTCCTTGCCACTTTGATAATGGAGCTGGCCTATCTCTGTCAAGGTCATCTTCTTTACTCTCTACAGCACTGTTTCTCAACCTTGGCAGCTTTCAGATGTGTATAATAAGTATATAAGTAATATAATTAAAAAAATAAAAAATTAATAAAGGAAAAACTTCTCTGTCTTCTAGGTGGCTGTATTTGTTTAGTCTTCCAATCTTTGTTTTTAAATTTTCACTGTACTTGGCTTAAAACGGAACACAAGGTACCTGGGTTATCTTAAGTTTTTTTCTATTTTGTTTAGCATAATGAGGTTTGACTTGCACTGTGGTTCTGCCAGCCCAAAGGAAGATAGGCCATGGATATGATTTCAATATCTTGTTACTTGTAGAATAGCAGTTGTGGCAGACTGTCCTAAACAGGACAAAATATTTTTTTTTTCTTTTCCTCCAGGTCTACCTTACACTTTTCCCCAGGTTAAATGTACCTAGTTCTTTCTCAGTTATTAACTTTTTCTCCTTTTCCACAATACAAGACTAACATGGTATCCTAGCAGCAGATACCTGTCAGGTTCAGCCCAAGAACAACAAGGAGGCAATTCAGTCTGGTCCAGTTCCTTTATGAGTGTGCACCTAGTAGACAAAATCTCGCCAGACTAAACCTATGCTAAAGCAACTGGTGGGTCTACCCCGTGAGACTCTATGGAGGACCAGCCTCATCCTCTTTCTCTTCCCACGCTCTTGCTGTGGGCTGAGAAAGTGCTTGTTCTGGAATGTTCCCCCTCCCTCCTGATAACCTTGATCCTCCATTCCAGTATCTTCCTCACTCA